AATGGCTAGGCCATCATCAAGTAACCTTATTTTACACGAGTGACATATTTGAATAATATTAGATGTGGTTAGCAAGGCCATCATAATTAAGTAACCTTATTTTACACGAGTGACATATTTGAATAATATTAGATGTGGTTGGCAAGGCCATCATAATTAAGTAACCTTATTTTACACAAGTGACATATTTGAATAATCTTAGATGTGGTTGGCAAGGCCATAATAATTAAGTAACCTTATTTTACACAAGTGACATATTTGATCAATCTCAGATTTGGATGCCTAGGCCATCACCATCATGTAACCTTATCTTACATGAGTGACATATTTGATCAATCTCAGATTTGGATGACTATGCCATCATCACTAAGTAACTTTATTTTATATGACAGTTATCCATTTAATCAATCTTAATATATTTTACAAAAGACTGAACCTTAGATGGTCCACAAAAGTGACCTTATCTTACATGTCAATGATTCATTTGATCAGACTCAGGTAATCCATTTCATACATGGATAACTGAAATAATTTACCAAATGTAGCCTGGGCGATTAATGAAACTTAACAGTTGTCTGGCTCATTAATTCAACAAAACAATTATATTCTCACATTAGACTTGAATTGTTAAAATAATCAAAAATTGTAAAAAACAATATCCTCAATTAGTTTATTTTTACATAAGTCATAACACTAATTAAACTGAACAAGCAAACTTGAATTAAGTGAAAATGATAAATCATAAGGCAATATTTCAATTACTTTAATAGCTGGAATAAAAAAAAAAACCAGTAGTAACTGGAAACATAATTAATTTAATCAGGTTAACGCTCTAAATGTAGTTTTAGTCAAAGACCTCTTTTTGAGATCTCTGTGATTAAATGACTGCACAACAAATATACAGGGTTGAATTCTGCTAATAAGTTAACACTTCAGTATCTTCAAAACAATTTTTCCAGAGAATGTTTCAGTTTCATAAAAGGAATTTTGTACCCTAATATAACCCTTATTAAAGTAAGCTATTCAAAGCTGCTTCTACATATACTGGTGCGTATATAGTTACAATAAAATATATTCTGTCGTTCTGGAATCAAAGTACAAGATTATGAAATGTTTATTAGAAACATTATTTTATTTCCTGGTAATTACATACCATAATGCACTAGGATTATTTGAATTACAATTGTCACTGACTACTAAATGACAACAACTGTGAAAAACACTACTGAGAACCAGTAGAAAACAGAGCTAATATTCCACCAGCTACACCTACAGACATAACATAGTTGCTGAGTGTAAGTTAAGGTAAATATATGCAAAAAGAAACAAAACCTTAAAATCCTTATTCTTATATTGTATTCTGAGTGAAAATCAAATTATCTTTACATTCTAGAAATATACTACACAGCTTTCAATAACAGACATACATGATACATATCTACATCAAACAGTAAACCTCGATTTTAACAGTTCCACTAGAATAGCCAAACTATCTTAATCCTACAGTATTTTTAACTCTTTTGTTTACAGTAGCATATCCAAAAGAATTAGTAAACATCTCTATCTGGTATTTTGTTTTCCTAATCAAAATGAGTGACAAAAAACTGCTTCACATAGAATTAAAGAATACACAAAATGGTCACCAGTCAGCTGGCGTGTGCAAAAGAGTTTCTCGAATGATCATGAATTTTCGGGGGAGTCCTAGTGCGTTCGAGATGCCCTCTTCTTTAGTATATAAGCCTGGCAGAGAAGCCAGCGATATATAGATAGTTAAACAAGCGAACAGTAGTTATGGAAATATAAAGTGTGTGTTTTGTACTCGTAGAGAGGAAAGTTATCAAGATTGTGAATCGCTGTGAT